GGGGTGACCTGCTGGGGTCTCCCTGGCAGACCCATTCAAGAGATGCCCAGCTGCCTACTTGAATCTATGTGGAAAAGGAGCCCAGAAATGAGCATTTCGGTAATATGGTCATAGCACTGTTCTGTGCCGTGAGCCCTGAGCTCCGTGAGACCGTCACATGTGAGACTCTGACGGTTGGTGTGCACGACTTCACAAGGATGCTTCGCCCACCCACACGCCAAGCCGCAGTAACGGGAGCCTCAGTGGAACCGGGCAGGAGGAGGAAGGATGGGTCAACACAGTCCTGGGGTCCCTCCTGGCTCTGGGCTACACAGGCCCTTTCAGCGTGGGCCTCTGAACCATTTCCAGTAGCTTCTGCAACCAGGCACCTCTCTCATCTGTGAGGAGGACAGGGAAGGCTTGCACCCCTCCAGCCCTCTGGGCACAGCCCACAGACAGGGGTGAAAACGTAGCAATCCTAACTTAATAAGGCAGGTGTACGGGATGGACTAACGTACCGCCATTAAAATCCTGTTTTCCAAGGAAACACGAAGTGGGAAAACCCTCACTGATAGGAAGTGAAAACGTGGGTTACAAAAGGATGTGCTCGCTCTGAGCTCAGTTTTGGAAAGACAAACAAAACAAAGTTTGCCGATGCACTTAAAAGCGCTTCTTTATCTCCTATACAGTAGCCAGTTGACGGGCAACGGTGGGTTTCTGGGTTCGCTGTTAGGGTTGTTGTTTTCTGGCTTTTCTCTGTTTTTCACTCTTTCGACAGGAAGCAGGTGTGGCTAATACTATCAGAGAAAAGCCAGGACATCTTACTTTCTGGAAAGGCCAGCGCCCTCAGAGTGGGGGCAGGGCTGGGGTCTGCAGCCAGCCTGGATCAGCAGAGGGAACCACAGCCTCCCCGGGACTCTCCAAGGACAGGCTCCCAGGTTTGGGCTCCTCACGGCGACACTTTCATCAGTGACTGACCCATGTGCTGGTGTTAGGCCAGCGTCCCTGACACAGCTGGGTCTGGCTCCCCGGGCCCCTCCTGACTGGGCCTTGGGGCAGTGCACACATCTGGAAAGTGTTCTGGGCGCCAAGGTAGGAAATGCATCTGGTCTGCTGAGTCCCAGTTTTCACCGTCGGAGACACCCGAGCTGGGCCCAACCTGCTTGGAGGGCTGTCCCCCTTCTCCTTCCTCAGGGGGGACAGCCTTCCTCAGGGGGGAGGGGTGGGGGAGAGCAGGGAGAAGGGGAGGGCCGGGGACCTCTGCAAAGTGGTGCCAGAGACAGGCTGCCTCCAAACCCCTCAGCTGTGCACACTGGGCTGTCATCCTCCCTCCCGCCCCCAACTTCCCCTCCTCAGCACCCCTAAAACCTTATCAAGCAGGATACAAAGCAAAGCCCAGGAACCACCAGAGTTGGCACTAGGGAGGAGGATGGTGGGCTTTTCATTTCCTGGTGGGGTATTTTATTTTTTTTCTGGCATTTTCCACATTCCACACTGTCTACTTTGTCTCTGTTACTTTGGTAGTCAGAAAAGTAATGTTTTAACAATGAAGAGGGGACATCCATAAATATAGATCTGAAAAGAGACCCCCCCCCCCGTCAGCTGATTTCCATCTGGCTTCTCCGCCAGGTGGAGGCCACCTGCCACGGTTCCTCCCCGGATCCAAGGACACGCACAGGGCGGGGTCTGGAAAAGCAGCCCACCCCAAACTGCCTGTTGTTTTAATCATTTTCCCGCCTTGTTCAAACCCTGCAGCCCAGAGCAGGGAAGGCACGAGCACAGGACACCTGGTCACCGCAGCCCCTCGGGACATCCCACCCCCACACAGGTGTTCAGAGCCAGCACGACCCTATGGCTTGTCCTTGGGGCCTCCTGCTCACCCCCAGGATGTCTTGGCAACAGCCCAGCCCAGACCTCGCAGCTTCGTAGGAGCCCCTTGGGCCAAGGAGTCCACGACGAGGACCTTGAGCGGTGGGAGAAGGGTCAGGGTGGTGTGGGGTCTACATAGGGTGAGCAACTTGTCCAGCTCACCCAGGACCTTCCCAGTTTTAGGGCTGAAAGTCCCAGATCCCTGGAAACCCCACAGGTGCAGGCAGACCGGGACAGTTGGTCACCCGGATCTACAGGGGATCTGCTTGGCTTGGGTGGGGGACGAGCCCCCATCATCACAGGCATTCCCGGGTTACCCTTGGATGGGCAGAGCTGGTGTCCTGGTCGCCGCCAGGCTGGCGCGTGAGGGACCAGCAGCGCCAGAGGCAGGGAGCCGGCCAGACACGGTAAGTAAGCCCCCGGCGGGGGGGGGGGAGGAACCAGATTCTAGAACGGAGATCAAGGCTTGGAACCCATGTTGGGCCCTGGAGAGGATCAGGCCCAGAGAGAGCAGCTGCCGGATGCGGGTGTCCAGCAGAGGCGAAAATGCGGACAGTTTCAGTCTGGAGGTGGGAGGGAGAGCTTCAGAGCTGGAAGAGTCCTGAGATGATCACCCCACGGCCCCCACCCCTGGGCTGACCCTGCCTTCCTCCTGTACCCCCAGCAGACGTCGGCAGCGGGGGGGCTCCTCAGAATCCAGGAAGCAGATGGTCCACGTGGCCACTGCCCATTGACTCATTTGGACACGAAACCCATTTACTTTCTGCAGAACGAGCCAACCTGCCTGACGGAAGGGCTGGGGTGGCCCGAGGGGCTGCAGTAATCCTCTCCCAGCTGGTCCGTAGCAGAGCAAACCTTGACCCCTCATCATCTGAGCCCTGCTGCAGGGCCCTCTGCGGCCGCCTCGTCCCTGAGACCCAGTGATGGGGTGGGGGTGGGGGTGGGGGATGGGGATGCCCTGGGCTGAACAGCACCCACCCCCCAAATTCATGTCCTCTCAGAACCTCAGAACGTGGCCTTATTTGGGAACAGGGTCTTTGCAGATGTAATTAAGGATGAGATGAGGCCATCCTGAAGATGGGCCCCAAATCCAACGGGAGTGCCTTACAAGAGATCTGTTTCTCGTCTGCAAGGACAGAGCGGGGCACAGAGCAGGCCAGGGGAAGGATGGCCCGCTGGCACCTCGATCTCGGACTTGGGGCCTCCGGAAGCGGGAGGGAATGGATTTCTGTTGGGCGGTGGTGTGTCGTGCACAGCAAAGGGCTCGGCCCCGAGAGCCCGCGGGGGTGTGCAGAGACATGTGCCCCCGGCAGCCTCCACTCGGGGCCACGGTCTCAGCTACCGACCAGCTCCTGGGGCTCAATGTGGTAGGGCGAGATTCCAGAAGAGAAACTTTATTTCCAACAATACAGGAACGAAAGCCGCTTGCGGCACCTCCGTGTGGGGAAGCCTTGCCCCTGGCTTTCCACGTACACGCGGGCTTCCGAAGTCCCCAAACGCGGCGCCCAGGCGCGAGGCTCAGCAGCCCCCAGAACCGCGGCGACAGCGGCTTCCTCCCCAAAGAGAACCGTGCCTCTGGGGTCTGGGAGAGGAGCACGTCCCCCCGCCACATTCGCGTTCGGACATTTATTTCAGGAAATACAGTTTCAACACTTTGTTATTTATACAAAAAGATGAATTTCTCAGGAGGCACAGAGCAAAAGGCCACTGTGGGACAGAAGCCAGTGAAAAGTCACGATCTGTCACGATCTGGCTACAGAGAAGGAAAGCGGGTCCGTCCCACCCGGGGGGCTGCCCCGCACCCTCGCCCCACCGCTGAAGCTGGAGGTGTCCTTCGAAATCTTGGTTTTGGCAAAAACATGGCAAGTCGGCAAGTCAATGGTTTCACTTAGGGGTCCTTCCTGTCTCAGGTGGGGAGTGAGCACGCAATGCAAGGACATCGTACACACACGCACACGCGCACCCTGCACAGGCCTGTCTGCATCCCCTTCCTCCTGCTGCTTGCAGACAGACGTGTACCTCCCCCATGTCTAATCTCATGACCTGCGCCAGCCCCCTGGCTCTCCAGAAGGCAGGGAGAAGCACCTGCCTTCTGCCGTGCGTGGCTCGGACGGCCCCAGCTGCTCTCCCCGTGGAGACGCAGGGTAAGGGAGTGGGAGCGACCGGCCAAGCCCTGCTCGTAAAACCCCGGGCTGCAGCCCGATGAGGGGCCGTGCACACCTGCCTCCTGACCTCTCCCTCTTTGGGGGGGGGCGGTCTTTACGATGGGCTCTGGGATGCAGGAGCCCAGGAACATTTAGGGCGACGAAAAGCTCCTGGGGTCAAGGTCAGCGAGGCCGGGACCAAGAAGGCTGAATGTGTACCTGGGGTGGAGCATCTTAGGCCAGAGATTTCTAGACAGACAGACAGACAGACGGACGGACAGAAACACATTCTCCCAGTCACATGGGACGGTGCAGGGCAGGCCCTGGGGTCACGTGGGCGGCTCTGAACAGGCCTGGCCCCACAAAGCAGCCCCCTTTCCCACACGGTCGCCTCTTCCTCCCTCAGCTCCTCCACCAGATTCACCTGCTTGGACCTTCCCCCAAAGCATGGGGGTGGGCTGGAGTGGGGTGCATCTTTTTCCTTCCTTTGCATGCTCAATCAAATCCTGGGTGGGGGGAGGCGATGGAGAGATGAAGACAGACCTCCCTCTCTCCGACTTGTCCCCAGTTCCCAGTGCCGGTGGCAGGGACAGCGGGAGAGAAGGCTGGCTCGTGGACGGCTGATAAAGGCACTTTCTGCTCCAGGACGGGCTCGCGGGTGGGCGGCAGGCGATGTGCCTCCCGGTGTCTAAGCAATTGGCAACCTGCATCTCATGGAATTAACTATTCTCCCCTGGGGGGGGGGGACAAGGGCGGGGGCTCTCTGAGTTACAGGTCTGGGCCATGTAGAGAGGGGGCAGGAAGGGGCTCCGGGGCGGCCAGGCCAGCTGCCCTGCACAAGCCTGCCTCACTCAGAGGCTGGGGCCGAGGGCAAACCGGAGCTGGGCCTGCAGTTGGGGGGGGGGGGTTGGGGGCTGGCACCGAAGCCGCGGGTCCCCTCCTGGCCGTGGCCCAGCCTCTCACAGACCTCGGGGACGGCCAGAGGGATGGCCTCCTGCCCGAGGCCCCACCCGGTCCAAGCCCCACAGTCAGTGGCTAAGAATGCACATACTCAGGAGGGCACACGTGATCTTGTTACTTGGCGGCGTGTAAAGGGGCAGAGAACGATGACAAGTGGAGAAAATTATATAAAATAAAGTGGGGCATGTGGGCGGGCCTGGGGGTGGTGCTGGAAAGGACTGGGGGGCAGGGTCCCGGGGGCAGGGTGGGTCTACATCTCCTGGGCTTCGGGCCCCTTCTCCTCGACGCCGTTGGACATGGCATGGCTGCCTTCGTGCAGACGCTTCACCCGGTACGCTTCGAAGTGGATGCTGCTGGTGATGTCCTTGATGTTCTGCATGTGCGTCCTGGGGGGACACAGGGAGCTCACGGATGCTGATCCCGCTGGGTCGGACCCAGGACTCCCACTGCCTGCCCCCCTTGCACCCCATGCCCCCTGCTTGGCTTTCAGGGGGCCCCCGGGAGGGCTTGTAAGGCCCAGCGAGCTGGCCCAGGCCTGGGTATGGCAGGGATGCGGGGCCGTCCCCATGGTGACCCAGACCTTCTCCCAACAGCTGTCATAATGCATGTGTCCCCTCTGTCTGTGTCAAGCCTGTGGCCAGTGCAAGGGTAGGGGCTGGGTGCACAATCAGAGGGGACAGCACCGGCATGTCCTTGCTGCCATCGAGAAGCACCAGGCCAGTGGCCAGTGGGGGACCACCGGTCCTGGGGCTATGGCCTGAGCTGGAGTGCTAGGTGACCCTACTTGTCCTGTGCTCAGGTTCTCCCTCCCTCGCAGCCCAACAGGAGAGACTGGAAAGGGGGGTCAGAAGGGCTCGTGGTGGGGGCATCTTTTGCAGCCAGGCTCTCCAACACGGTGGGGTCACTCCCACAAGCCACATTCCACTTCCTAACCTAGAGGCCCCAAGAGACGGCCTTGTCCCTCCACTTGACTTCACGCCTAGGATGCATCTGCCTGCTGACTGAGAAGCTGGGAGCCTCTGGTGCCATGAGGAGTCCCTACTGCCTCCAATTACCTGCCCAGGCCCAGGCACCTGGCACCCTCTCTAATGGCTTAAGGATGGCTACTCCTTGCCTGGGCTCAAGGAAAACCAAGGAGAAGCCTCAGCTAGGTCAGAGTGGTGGGGTCAGAAGACACTGGGATGGGAGTGGGGGACACCACCCCCATGCCCAGCACAAAAGACCCCCTGGGGCCCTGAATCTAATGGACTCATGCTGCGGTGATCAGAACCCGGCCCCTTCCCCAACCCCTTCCCAACCCCTTCCCATCCAGGGGCTCTCCCACAGATTAAGAAGGCTCTTTACTTCCTGCTTCATTTCTACAGAGGTGTTTTAGACGATGGGCTTCCGAGGTCTTCCTGGGGGAGGACGGGCCAGCTGCTGACCAGGACCTCTGCCTGCTCCCCCAGTGCCCACGCTCCTGATTTAGGGCCCTCTCGGGGCCTTTTGGGGGCCAAGGCCGACACCCCACAGCCCTCTCTCACCTGATAAGGAGGTCCCGAAGGTAGGCAAACTCACAGTGGGTGGTGTTCTCAACTGAGGAGAGGAGACAAAAGGAGCTTTAAGGTCACTCGAAGCCCCTCCCCCCAGGAGTTCTGGTGCCAAGAGGACCCTGGGCAGGTGGGCTGGTGGGGGCAGGAGTCACTGCCCCACAGGGGAGCCCTGGGCACCCACAGGCACGTAGGCCTGACCAGGCACCCGCCCTCCGGAGCTGTCCGGTCTAATGGGGCCATTGCCCCTCACTGGGAACCAGGGGGGTCTCCTGGGAAGAGCAGCATGTCCCACAGACCCTGAAAACGAGGGTGGGCGGTGGCAGTGGAACAAGGCAGGGACTGAAGGTGGCATTTCGAGAACCTGTGCCCCGCGGGGCGTTCTCCCACACGCGTCACCATTTACATCGAGCTCAGGAACCCTACATTGCCGGCCACACACACACGTCCAAAGCACAGGCTGCAGGGCAGGGGTTAGCTCTGGGGACGTGTGAAGACAGGGCAGGCAGGTGCCCCCAGGTCCCCTTGAGTGGCACCCTGGTGGTGGCTTGGAGCCGGAGCTGGTGGCAGTCTCCCTGTTCACTTTAAGGCTCTGCTGTGTGACGCATGTGCCTAATTACCACGTACATGCAGACCCTTTAACGGGCGGCGAGTGGCGCCATCTGCACTGAGGCGGGCCGGCACAGAGGTTGAATGGAAAGGCGTCAGGTGCAGGGCGCCTGCATGTTTAACCCACGCACCCGAGACACCACTATGGCTCCTCTTCTGTGGTCTCAGGGAATCGGGGCTCAGCACGCAGGGAATGAGCCTGTCCTCCCCCACACCCCCCAATAAGCTGGCAGGCAGGGCTGGCGAGAGAAAGCCCCAGTGCCTCCACCTTGCAGAGCCCTGGGGCGCTCCTGATTTTATTCCAGCGGCGGCTTGCCTGGGTTCCACCCTCCACACCCCTGGTCCTCCTCCCATATCCCCACCCACACACGGGCGGGGCCCACACTACAACCTTCTGCAGACGGACTCTCACGTAGCATTGCTACCTGACGTGGAGAAGCGGTGAGAGCCGGCAGGAAGAACAGAGCCCTGCTGCTTTTCCTGGCCTGGGGTGACTTATCCCGGCCTCTCTGACCCTCAGTTTCCTCTTCTGTGAAGTAGGGCTCAAATGTCACCCACCTCTCAGGGACGCGAGAGGACTCGATGAGTTAGTTAACTGTGTGCTTTCTTACACCCCACCCTCCTCCTGAAGACGCCAGGTAGTTTCCGAGGAGGAGTAAACCATCTCAGGATGGCGCCCACCAAGTGGGGGGAAGATCAAAGAAGCAGGACCAGGGATGCGCGGGGCAAGAACAAGGCAAAAGCGTGTGTTAACCAGGCTCGCCAGGGCGAGCACAGAGCGGTCCGTCCTCTGGTCAGTTATGAGCGCACAAGGCCCCAGAGATAAAGAAAGAGCCGCCAGCGTGCTGGGGAAGTTCAGCTACACAGATGGGGGGCAGAGATTTCCTCCAGGTCCTCATGGAGACTGCAGGAATGGGAGACCCGCCACCTGGCAACCGTCCCTACAGGTGCCACGGGACTGTTTCTCACAACCAACGCAAGGTGAGCCTGCAGGCCACAGCGGGCCGCCAGGGGGCAGCAGAGGCGTGTCCATCCCTGGGCCGCCCCCCCCCCCCCCGCCCCACTCTCCGGCATGCCTGGGTCCCCACGGGCCTTTCTTATCTCACACTTCTCCAACCTCGGGAACGTGCGCCTGTGAAACAGTTCCTAAACAGCAACATTTCAGGACTAGGCGGAGCCAAGGCAGACGAGCCCAGGTAAAGCCTGGTTGAGGACAGCCTTCATGCGACAGGATGCTGAGCGGTCCCCACAGAGACACCCCTAAAGGAGGGGAGAGCCAGGGCAGGAGAGAGCCAGCAGACACTGGTTCAGAAAACACCATCCTGCACCCACCCACCAGCACCTACGTGGGCGCCCCGAGGCGGGTCTGTGTACCGCTCCATGCCTCCCCCAGGCTTTAGCAGTGCAAGGGTGGGCCCTTGGGTGCCACAGCGTGGGCCTCTCCGCAGGAGGGTGCAGGGACAGCTGCGGGTGGGGGGTGGGAGGGGTTAAGCATGCAGCAAGATAATGCATGTAAAGTGAGCCAGCACGGAGGGGGAGGGAGGGAGGGAGGGAGGGAGGAGGAGAGAGGGAGGGAGGAGGAGAGAGGGAGGGAGCGCACTCACTGACTGGATTTCACGGTGATCACTTTCTTAGAGCATTTGCTGCCCCAAAAGCTCTAAAAGTCTTTGAGACATTCTGTCATTTTTACTAAAGCCTTGGCACATAGTACCCATTTTAAGGATGGTGAAAACTGAGGCCCTGGAGGATTAAGGGACTTGCCCAATTTCACGGCGGGGGGGGGGGGGGGGGGCGGGGGGGCTGGTGAGCACCTTCCTGACCTTGTCTATACTGGCCCTCAGCCACGGATCGAAGACAAAGTGGCCCATTTCAAACTATCCCTTCTCCCTCCTCTGTTCTGAAGAGGGAGGGCGGAATAGAGTGGAGGGGGAAGAAACGCCCAGGTGCAGCCCACCTCGGGCGCCACCACGCGAGGGGGTTCAACTGTGTCCCCCAAACCATGTCCACCTGCCAACTCCCTCGGGACTTGTGAATGGCAGCTTACTTGGAAAGAGTTTTTGAATTTATACTTAAGATAAAGAGCATAAAAGGGGATGACCCTGGGTTTCGGGTGGGTGCTAAGCCAATGACAAATGTCCTTGTGAGGAAAAGACAGAAGGCTGAAGGCAGAGTGGGGGTTGGGGACAAGCCAAGCGACGTCAAGGATGGCTGACAGCCACCAGGAGAGAGGCCTGGAACACATTCTCCCTCAGGGCCTCTGAAAGGAACGAACCCTGCTGACACCTTGACTTCTGGCCTCCAGAACTATGAGAAGAAATTTGTTTCAAGCTGCCCAGTCTGTGCTAATTTGGCACAGCAGCCCCAAGACAAGAAGATGTAGGGGTCCCGGGAACTTGTGCAGGGGGCGGGCCGTCTGGTTCTCAGAGCTGGACAGAGCTATAGCCCAGCCCTGTCCTAGGCCCAGAGAGGTGGAGCAATTTGTCCAGGGTCACACAGCATGGCCATGAAACAGCAGGACCAGAACCCAGGACTTGGCAGGACCCCTCATGGCTCCTTCCTTTCCTCTCTGGATACTGCCCTGCCCCCAGGAGATCGGGTGAAGGGACAGCTCCATCAGCTAACGGCAGTGGGCCCTGGACAAGCCACTTGCCCCCTCCCAGTGGCTGAGTGGGGCAATGCAACAGATGAGGTCCCAGGAGCACCCGGCTGAGGCCTTGGTGCCCAAGCTCCAGGCCAGCAGAAGCAGCTTGAGTTTTCTGATCTGTCTGGAGGCCCCAACAGCTTGACGATTACCTTCGATGGTGCCCCATTTGGTTTTCCGTCCAAGGATCCTCTTCCCATTCACTTGGTACTCATGGTCACTGCCCACCACGGCGAACGGGATCATCTCCTGGGGGAGGGACAGGAAGCACTGGTCACATGTGTGCAAAGGCCAGTCCGCTCTCTGGGCCCCGGGGAAGAGCTGCCCTGAGCCCGGGCCCCCCCGGAACGAAAACCCTTGGCCTGAGAGAGCCACATGTGACCCCTTGGGCTCTGACCCCCTCCGGCCCAGAGAATATGTTCTCATGGCTCAGGGCCATCCCACCCGTCTCCCCAGTCCCACTGGAGCGGGCTGGAAGACCCCGCCGTATCCTCTAGCAGGAACTGGGGGGCCGCTGGGGACGGCATCTGGCCAATCCACTCACTCGGAACTTCTCATTCACCAGCCGGTCCTCCGAGTCCTCGTCAAACTCCTTCTGGGGGTACACGTCGATGCCGTTGGACAGCAGGTCCGCGGTGATCTGGGGGTACAGAGGGGAGAGATGTGGGTGCCATTCACACAGCAAGCTGGACTGGCCCACCGGGGTCTGCCGCGCTGTGACCTCCGGAAAGTGAGGGGGCCCAGCCTGGGGTCAAGGGCAGGCTTTACAGGGCTGGTGACCCTGATACTCCAGTTCTCATGCCTCCTGAGTGGAGGAGGGGTAGCTGCAGGCCTGCCTGCCAGAAGACACGTGCAGCCACCTGAGTCCCGAGCGAGTCCCGAGCGACTCTCTGTCCTCCCTCCCTAGCCCATCACACCCCCGAGACAGCAGCTCCGGGTTGTCGAGTTGTCCCTCAAGCTCCACCCAGACACCCTCTGTCACGGCGCGCCCCAGATGCTGCCCAGGACCTCCGAAGCCCAGGTGCACCTGCCTGCATCAGGCCATCACCACCGTTTGCGGCACCGGCTCCCCGACACGTGGGTACTCCCGTGCACAGCCGCCATTTCTGCCCTAAGCGCAGACCCACAGCTGTGTGCAGCCTGCTCCCTCCAGCAGACGCACGATGGGAAAAGGCACAGTCCTCCCCTCAGCCTGCTGGGAAAACCCCCCCCACCCGGGCCGGGGCCGAGGCCCAACGGGGGCGTGCACAGCTTCGGGGATCAGACCGAAGGGCCTCCTGGCTCTCACCCACCAGGGTGGAGGCTCTGTGGGACCCAGGGGCCTCGTCCTGGTTGCCCAGGGGGCTCTGACATGTTAGGAAGCCACAGCCCTGGGGGCACCCTCCTGTGTGGATGGCGGCAGGGAAGGAAGATGTGGCCACCTGTCCCCTCAGTGGGGACCACCCCCTCTGGGCTTTCTCTTCCACCTGAGGAAGACCTGGCATGTTGTGTCTGACGGCCCAGATGGAGGTGGGGAGCCCTACCCGCTGTTTGAAGTAGACCCTCTCCTCCAGGGTCAGCGTGTCGGCCTTGGCGATGACAGGAACAATGTTCACTACTTTGCTGAGGCGCTTCATAAACTCGATGTCCAGGGGCCTGAGGCTGGAACAGAATGGAGTGGGTGAGCGTCTGGCCGAGGGGGTCGGAGGGATGGGGACAGAATGAGAGCGGCAGGGCTGCCTGCCTCTGGCTGGAGGGAGCTGAGAAAGGGCCCTGAGGGTGCCCGTGGGGGCTTCCAGGTGGGGACACACAAGCAAGGCCAAGGCCGTGGGTTGCGTGCCGGCCAAGCCCTGAGCAAGGGACAGGAAAGAGGAAGAGGGCATTGCTCAGACAGAAGCGCCCCCGCACTGGGCAGGAACAGGCTGGAGACCAGGCTGGCTCTGAGCACTGTCCCGGGTGAGGTGTCCTCTCAGAGAGGACATTGCTCACACGGCTGCAGGGCTTCCCTTGGGAAGAAGAGAAGGGAGAAGCAGGAGGAAGCGCCCAGCAGCTCTGGGCCCCACCCAGCCAAGCCTCCGGAACAGGCTGCTGTCCCAGGTGTCCCCAGAACCTGGCCCACGGCCCTGGCGTGCCACCCGCCTCCAACCGGAAACCCGTCCTGAGCGGGCGCGGGGGCAGGATCGCAGGGCCCCTGAACGGCGGCCACCATCCTCCGCCCCGGAGTAGAGCTGCGTCTGCTCTTCCCACACGGCGAGAGTAGCGGTCACAGACACGGCCCGGGCTCTGAACTTGGACGGCAAAGAGCCACCCGATCACACAGGACGCGGCCTGCGTGGCACTTACGAGTGGCCGGTGGCGGGGATAAAGTACAGGCAGCAGTGGACGCGCGTGTCCGGGATGCGCTTCTTCCGGTTGATGTTGACCTCCTCCTGCAGGTATTTCTCGTACTGGTCGTTGATGAACTTCATGATCGGCTGCCAGCTACAGGGGGAGGCCCCGTCAGCCCGCACCGGGGGACGGCTCCCACCTGGTCTCCCCCGAATCCCAGCCCGGTCCTCAGCTTTCCGGTAGAACGACCAGGGGTGTGGGGCTTTCTGAGCAGAGACCACAGCCTTCCCTGAGACCTTCCAAACCAGCCTCCCATGCTGACGCTTGACCCCGGGGCGGGGGGAGGGGGCGTACAAGATTCTCAGGGTAACTGTACGTTGGCCCAGGATTTGGGGACCTCTGAGGGTTTAGCAACAGAGCAGGCCAGGAGACAGGCCCACGGGCCCTTACCAGTTCTCATTGTTGATGTGGTCCCCGAACCCTGGTGTGTCAATGACCGTCAGCTTCATGCGGACGCCCTTCTCTTCAATATCTGCACAGAGTCACAGTGCCCATGAGCTCAGGCAAAGACCCCAGAGCCTTACAGATACCTGGCATGGGCTAGGTCCTGCCCAGTAGGAACCTGACCAGCCCCACCCCAAGGCCCACTTGGGGTGCCCATGGGTGACCAGCGATGGCCCCCCCCCAGGTGATGCCAGGGAGAGGAACTGCCTCCAGCAGGGGCTGGTGACAGATGTGTTGGGCAGCCCCTGCCCGTGGGTTTTGGTGGAAAACTCAGGTGTCTCTAGGGGGCTCTGTCGGACCAGGGCCTGCAGGGGTCCTGGAGAGCATCCCTGACCCAAGTTTCAACTTGCCCAGCTCAGGACTCAGCACCCCTACACCCCACGTCGACACCCCCAGCCCCACCCTGGCACTCACCATGCGTGATGGACTTGATCTCAATGGTCTTGGGGATGCGTTCCTCCGAGGTGGGCTGCACCGACTTCCGGCTAATTTTGGACTTGAAGAGGGTATTGATCAAGGTGGACTTCCCCAAGCCACTCTGCCCTGGGGACAGGATGGGAGTCGGTCAGCGGGCCCTGTGGTTTAGCAATACCTGGGCACTGCCCCCAGCACCCCGCAGTGGGGGCCCCGGGTTGGGGGAGGTCAGGAGGCAGGAAGGGCTGGGATGCCCAGGCAGTGGCCCAGCTTCCGTGGTGCCTTGGAGCAGGGCAGGACCCAGAGTGCCCAAGAGGAGCTGAGATGCACAGCAGCCCCGGGGAGGCTGAGTGGGGGGCTGGGCCCCCCCAGTGCAGCTCTCCTCTTCACAGCTGGACACACCGGGGTCATCAGATTTGAAGGAAAACTCTACAGAGCCCCAGGACCACAGGAGGGAGGCTCTGCAAACCTGCCAGGGTCTAACCATGGCCAGGCCACCCCACGCTGCAGGGTTCTGGTCCAAAGAGCCTGGGGCCGGGCTCACCTAGGTTGGAAGTGCTGGTACGCTCAGCACACAAGGCCTGCAGCTGAGCAACCACGGGGCTCGGTGAAAAGCCACTGGGGCAGTTCCTGCTGGGGCAGGACGGGGGCCCCCAGACGGTGGGCAGCTGTGTCTCGCTGCCAGGAACAGCCAGTGGCCGGTCCCTACGTCCACAGACCCTGCCACTGACACTGACTGGCCAGCAAGCCCCCGGGGCCATCAGGCCACCCCCTATGTGGCTCCCAGGCACCTGGGCCCCAGCAGTGTTCCTGGCCTTGCTGTGCCCAAACCTCACCTCACCCGAGCCCTTCCCACAGCAGGAGGGCAGAGGGCAGAAGCCACGGTGGGGGGAGGGGGGCTGGACTCAGCTGTGACCAGAAGGCCCCTCCTGCTCACAAAGGTCACGGATCTACGGCTGGCTTTGCTGTCGCTGCAGAACCCTAGGCTCCGTGCACAGTGCTCACCGCACTTGCGCTGGGCACTGTCTTAAGTGAGGCTGTTTAACCCCCTTGCATGCCCAGGAGCCGTCACCATCCCCTCTGATGGATGAGAAAACCGGCACAGAGCCCAGCGTGGGGATGGGGACCCTGCAGCCTGGCTCCAGGGCCCCGCCATGACCCTCCACCTCGGGGTCCACATAGGGACTGCCTCACAAGCACGACCCCACATGTGGAGCCCCAACACCTCACCCCTTCCCGGAGCTGCCCTATGCCATGCTAGCCAACATATTTTAAAAAATTAAATTACACCAATTTTCCGACTTTGATAACCTTGCAAGGAAAAGCGTGGGCTCCCAGGACGCCGTAGGTGGATGTCAGGAATCCCTGGGCCAAGCTGTCTATGTCCCCTTCAGCCCACCTGCTTGTGTCCCTGCCAGGTCAGCCCGGAGCTACGTCAGACGTCCTGGCCACCACGCCGGACATCTGGGAGATGCCGATGGGAACTTTAAAGCGCAAACCGTTAGTAGGATTATCATCCTTACCACCCCCCCGGCTGCTGCTTCTGCGACTTCCCCACTTCCCCAGGGCCCGTGGCCACGTGGCAGCCACACATGGTGTCTGATTTGTCCCTCCCCATGGTCCCATTTTATGGATGAGTAAACCAAGACTGGGAGAAGCCCCGGGGAAGAGAGGACAAGCACCACGCCGCTGAGTGGGGGCGAAGCTGGGATTCCACCCTGGGTCTGCAGACCCCCAAAGAGACGCCCTCCCAGCCCAGCTGCCTCCCTGCTGTGTGAGGGAGGAGGGTGAGCAGAGCTCGGGCTCTCCCCCAGTGAGCAGAGTCCTTGGCGTGCCCTCCCTGGGCCTCACTACTGCCTACAAAGTGGGGCACCCTCTTAGCAGGGCTTCTGTGAGGACCGAAAGGGCTTCGGGAACAAGAGGCTGCCCGGTGCTCCCCCAGGTCTGGCCCCCAACCTGATCAAGGCCGGGCTAATCAGTGACCTCCCCTGGTGCCCCTCCAGCTCTGCTGGGGCCTCCAGGAAGCCTCCAGCCAGGCTTGCTGGCCGTGGGGGGCCGGCCCCACCCCTGAAGTCCATCCAGGGCTGAGCCACAGCGGGGTGAAGCGGCTGGTCAGCGAGCGGCCGCACTGAGCACCTGCCCAGCCGTCCCGGGTTCCTGCGATGAGGAGCCGAGGCCCCTCTGCGGCGCGGATGGAAGCCGGGGCCCTCCTGGCAGGCACACGGGCGCACACATGGTGCCACGCGCCAACCGCCCCGCAGGCCATCTGTGTCCACCCCCGTTCTCAGAGGAGCAGACTGAGCCCCAGAGCCCGAGGCGCGGGGCCCCGGCACGGGGTGCGCACTCACCGACCACCATGATGTTGAACTCGAAGCCCTGCTTCATGGCCTTCCTGCGCATCTGCTCCAGGATGGAGTCAATCCCCACATAGCCGAAGTCCGCGGGGGCCTTCTCGTTCCGGGGCGCGGGTGCCTGCTTCAGCCCAGCGTCTCTGGGGGTGTCGGCCATGTCGCCAATGCAGCCAAGAGCTGCCTCAGGGGCTGTGGGGAGACCGGTGGGGGGCGCGGAGTGTCAGGGGGTCTGACATCTGCAAAGAACCTGCATCCTCAGGGGCCTCCAACCACCACCCCCATTTCTCAAACAGGGAAACTGAGGCTCGAGACCCCTGCAGAACACCCCAGACCTAAAGCCCCCCCCCCCGCCACGGTGCCCACAGAGCCCCATGCTCTCCACCAGTGGCCTACGAGGTGGTGTCCTTCCCTTGGCTCCAAGGCAGAGCTGACCCCAGCCCTCCTCTTCCCAGCCTCCACCCTGCCCCAGGGCACCCAGGTAGGCCCTCCCCACCTCCTTCACCTGGCTCAAAAGGCCCCCACACCTGCTACAGGACCCTCAGGGCCAAACAGCTGAGTGTTTGGGCCAGCCTGTGAGCCAGGACAAAGGAGAGGACAGCCTTCTGAAGAACGAAGGGAGGACCCGGGTATTTGTTGTCCAGCAGCTCCTGGGTGAGGGTGTTCGGTCCCAGGTCCCGCCAACAGCCCCGGATGCAGAGCATGCTCCTCCCGGCCCAGCGGTTCCCAGGCGATGGCAGGCAGACAGGGCCCTGGGCCAGCTCCCCGCCCCCCACCCTGGACTGGGCCCAGGGGGTTCTTCTCTCTGCCTGGCACCTGTGTGCCCCACACCCACAGGTTTTGCTTTCAGGTCTATGGACAGGCAAATGGGACCGAGCTTCTAAGAAACAACTCAAGCTTCTGCAGTTTGCATATCAGAACCTTCCTCCCTTCCTCCCCTGGCTGTCCTGAGGAGTCCACATGCCCAAGTCAGAAACCTAGAGAAGGGGCGGCCAGAGGCACCCAGGGGGGACATGAGGGGCACTCCCCCAGTGGAGCTGGTCAGGGTGCTCAGGAGAGCATGGGTCCCTACTAGGGCCTGGCAGGAGCACACTGGCCAGGACCCGGTGCACCCCTAGACACACCACACTTGCCTGACACACCTCTCCTCGGCCAGCCCCTCAGTTCCCCTGGCGGCCTTCCCTGCCCTCAACCACTGAGAAGGACTGTCAGCTCCCTCCCACCTCCCAGGGATGCTCACGGGAAGAAAGCACATGGTGCATCTTGACATCTCCCTGGGCCCCCTCGGGGAGGGGCTGGCTGGTTCCCTGGGTGTCAGCCCCAGAACCCCCTCTTCCGGGTGTGCCCTGGGGGCGCAGTGTCGGGCAGCAGGACACAGGACAGGTAAACTGTTTCCACTTCCTGGGGGAGTGACTGGACTCTCCCCTGCAACGAAACCCTGCTGCCAAACCCCAGTGGGCCCAGCCGGCTCGTGCACCTCGGCGGCCAGACCTCTGCTCTGCAGGAGTGTCTGAGGGAACTGACCGTGGGGGCCAGCACCCTCTCCTTCCGCAAGGAGGATGATCAGCTGATAAATTCCAGAAATCGGAGTGTGGGTGGTTTCTCCACACAACGTCGCACAATGTCGCTCAACTTCCCCGTTTGCTCAGCCTGACAAAGCGCTGTAATTCCTACTTCACAGAATCGGGGGTCAAGCAAATAACAGAGCCCATGTAAAAGCACCAGGGACCGTCATGGGTCCCCGCTGCCCACCCCCGCTCCCAGGCCGGGGGTAGGCAAGGGACCCAGGAGGCAGCGATGACAGCCGTGGGGCCTCCTTCCAGCAGCGCCCGGAAGGCATGTGCCTCTGCTCCCTCCTAACTGTCCCCAGAGCTCCAGCATCTTTAAATAAACAAAGACAAGCGCCACATCTGGCCTTGAACATGTGGTTGTGGGGCTGCTTCCTGGAGACAGACATGGGGCCTTGTCTTGCAGGCCAGCAGCTCAGCCTGCCCCACGTGACCGAAAATTGCTTCCATCTGCCTGCGGGTCTGGGAGCCATTCAGTCCGGGCCTGGGCCACCCCCCGCCCACTCCCACATCCATCCCTCATCCCTTCCGAGCCAAACTGGGGGGAGGGGAAAGCGCACCAAGGCCCCTGGAACCCCCCTCCACTCCCTCCTCTGCTCCAGCTGCCCCCCACCCCCTACGCACCAACATCCACTGCAGAAACTCAAACCACAAAGCAAACATCCTGCCCACCAGCACCCTGCTTGAGAAATGACAATAAAAACTCAACAAGCCCCATCCTTCCCACCAACTGAGGGAAGGGCCTAGCCTTCGCACAGGTGGGGGTCCCTTCCTGCAAGCCCCTCCTCTCCCTGCCCGGAGGGTACCAGTGGTGATGCTAGAGCCCCGCTCTGCCTGCTCTGCCCAGCCAGGAGGCAGGACCTCCACGCGGGAAAAGCAGAGGCCCCATCAGGCAAACTTGCCTGGAGACACTTTCTCTGAAAACCCTCGCTTTCCACAGAGAGCCGCCAGGGACCCGGCTGCAGGAGTCCCGGCTGCTCCGGCTGGCTGGCAGGGATCGCAGAGACCATCTCCTCCAACACCGTCCCAAAGGACTTCTATGATGGAAAGACCCCATGCCCACACTGTCTAAAATATGGCAGCCACATGGGACTATTTTGTTAATTGTGGTCAAATACACGTAACATGAAATTTACCATCAACCATTTTAAGTGCACAGTTCAGTGGTGTCAAGAACATTCACACTGTTGTGCAACCAATCTCCAGAACGCTTTCGGTCTTGCGAAACTGAAACTCTCCCCCCCCCCCGCCCCGCCCACCCCGCCCAGCCCCTGCAGCCTCCGTTCTACCCTCTGTGAATCTGGCTAGGGACCCCCATAAAAAGAGGAATCTTCCAGCATTTGTCCTTTGGGGGCTGGCTTATTTCACTTAGGAGCATGCCCTCAAGGTTCACGCACGTTGTAGCAGGTATCAGAATGTCCTTCCTTTTTAAGGCTGAGAGTCCCTGGTGTGGCCAGAGCACATTCTGCGCGTCCATTTGTCCCTCGATGGACGCCCGAGTTGCTTCTGTGTTTTAGCTCTTGTGAGTAATGCTGCTATGAACACAGGTGTGAGAATACCTCGAGACCCTGCTTCCAATTCTTCTGGGTACCTCTCCAGCAGTGGGATCGCTGGGTCATACGGCATTCGTATTTTTAATTTTTTGAGGAACTGCCACCTGTTTTCACACGTGACTTCTGAGCTGGAAATGCAGCTGGTCCAACTGAGGAACTGAATTTTTCACTGTATTTAATTTTTATTAATTTACATTTAAAAAGGGACCAAGGGCAAATGGTAAAGATCCTGGACAGCACAGAAGTCTAGTTCAACCCACTTCTTCTGTAAATGGGGAAAATGAGGTCCCCAGATTTGTTTTTTCCCCCTGAAACGTCATCAGAAGCAGCCAGGCCAACATGCGATAGCCTTCACGGCATTTATTCAACCCCGAAGCCTCACATTCACTGCTGTGCCGTGTGATTACCGTCCATGCTCCCCCCAGACACACTGTGAGCCCCAGGGAGCATGGTAGCTGGCCTGGGTGGATACCCCTGTACATCCAGAGCTGTACAGGGAGGGAACACTCAATCAAGACCCGTGGAATGACTGGGGTCTTGGGAGTGTCCCCTTAGTGCAGGCTGGGTGGAGGGCTCTGCGGTCCCAGGCTGGCCCACAGCCCTGCCACGACAATGGGCAGACCTGCATCCAGTCCACTTCCCCCGGTGACCTCTCCCTGGGGCTGGGGCCTCACCCTCTTTCCCAAGGCCCCACACCTGAATTTGTGTTTCCTACCCGAACTTCATGAGATGCTATTAATAGCAAAGGGATGTTCCTCACAGAAAAGGAAGTTTCACATTTATGTCCCAGATGACTCTCTCTGCACCCTCATCAGCTAAAGAGAACAAGAGGGAGCCCCATTTTTTTTAAAGATTATTTATTTCAGAGACAGCATGAGCAGGAGGGGCAGAGGGGGAGAGAGAGAATCCCAGCAGATTCCATTCTGAGTGTGGAGCCCGACATGGGGTTTGATCCCCTGACTCTGAGATCACGACCTGAGCTGAAACCCAAAGTTGGATGCCCAACCAACTATGCCACCCAGGCACCCCAAGCCCCATTTTAAAAAAAGATTCTCTTTTTAGGTAATCTCTATACTCAGCATGGGGCTTGAACTCACAACCCCAAGATCGAGAGTCACACGCTCCACTAACTGAGCCAGCCAGGTGCCCCAAGGGAGCCCCATTTTTTAAAAGTGTAAAACTCAAGTTCAGAGAGGTTAAGTAATTTACTCATGGTCACACAGCACTGCCTGCCTTCTCTCACTGTTTCTGCCTGCCTCTCAGGCAAGGCAATGTGGAGAGAGGGCAAACTGCCAAGCCCGTCCTTCCCCTCGGAGGAGGAGGATGCCGGTTTGCTCTGGGGGTGTGGGCCCCCGTACAGCCTCACTCCCTCCCCAGCAGCCCCGGGTCAACAATTTCTCCTCCCGCCCCATAGGCTCTCAGGCCCAGGGTGACGTCATTGCCCACCAGGCCACCAACCTCCCCCAAGGAAGGAAGGCCTGAGACCACCCAGGCTGGGATGACCCTACACACTGGCTTATACCTTCCTCCAGCCTAAGTATCCTCTTGGTTGTGGTAACATTTACATAACATAAAGTTTCGACCATTTTAAATCATGTTTCGGTGTCTGCTTCCGTGGCCTGCAGCCCATCCACGATGGCCACCACCATCTACCTCCAGAATGTTTCCATCACCCTCAACAGAAACCGCGCCCACCGACCTGTAACTTCCCCTGCCGCTCCCCCAGTGGCCTCTAGTCGACCTTCTGACTTTGTGGATTTGACTGGTCTACGGACCCCACGCAGCCCTGCCCTCTGTGTCCGGCTTCTCTCCCCGAGCCTGACGTCCTCCGGGCGCATGCGTGTTGCAGGAGGTGCCGGAATGTCCTTCCTTTTCACGTCTGAGTAACATTCCACTGTTTATTGTTCATCCGCCAGTGGACACTTGTGTTGTTTCCCCCTTTTGTAAATGATGCTGCTGTGAACAAAGATCTGAGTCCCTGCTCTGAATTCTTGTGGGGTATCCAGCCTAATTATTAACAGAACCCAGGTGACCCTCAGAGAGGCACAGTAACTGCCACGGTCATCCTACT